CAGTTGGTGTCTCAGAGGCGTGTGCACCGGGGACTCGGCTCCCGGGTCAGGGAGGTGCAGTGTGACTTGTGTCCCCGTGCTGGCGGGTCCTGGCAGCTCCTCAGCTGGGATAACTGTGCACTGGGAAGAAGCCTGAGCTCTGCAGTTCAGGCTTGGGAAGGCTTCACCAAACCCAACTGTGTTCCTGTACGTCTCATCCTCATCAGCTTAACCAGGCTTTTTTCAAGTGTAGAACAATTCCAAAAGAAAGAGGGGGGCAAATATCTCCTCCCAGGCTTTCTGCCCACACATCCAGCTTGTGGGAATGTTCATTCCAGTGGTGGGAACCACATGGACCAGACACCTCCATGATCAAATAGCTGCTGTAGGGCAAGGCATGTGAGCAGCAGCAGGAGGAAGGTGATTCACTGCCTGCTGGTGGCTGGGTGGGGAGCACAGGCAGTGCCCAGGCTCTGCCAGCAGCAGGTATCCCTGTGGGAATGCATGTCCAAGCCCTGGTGCCAGCTGGGCAGGAGAGAAGCTGGTCCCTCGGGTGCTCAGAGTGTCCTTCCCAAGCACCACCCCCTGCCTGCACACCGGGGCAAGGCTGAGCAAGGAATTGCTGCTTTTCACCAGAAGTTACTGTCCTGGGGCAGCAGAAAACAAAGGACCAACTGTCAGAGCCACGGGCAGCCTGGGTGGCTCAGCCAACATGTCCCTCCTTGCATCAGGTTGTACCACAGTGAGGGGTATGGATCAGACCCTGGCCTTAAGCTCTGTGCCCACGAGATCTTCACCCACCCTGGCAGTGAGCTGAGCTGTGTACAGTCATGTCAGACTTTGGCTGTTCCTGCTGGGGAACACTCAAGGAGTGGCTGCCTCTGCAGCTCTAAGGCCACCAAGACACTGGTGTGGCACGGATGGGTGAGAGGTTGTTTCTGCCAGCTGGATGGCTTCTGGAACAGATCAAACTGCTGCCTGCTGATGTTAACCTTGCAGCAGCTGCACTTGTCCCTTTTTTGCCACTGATCTGGATGGGGACTGGCAGGGTAGGTCCTCAGATCCTCAGCACCAAGGAGACGGGCCGGGCTTTGGCACCGGTGATGCAGAGGAGTGACCATGACTCACCCTCCAAAAGAGGAATAGAGCATTTCTGCTCCACGGAACTGAGTGGGCTCCTGCACATCTCCCACCAGAGCAGGGGACACATCATCCTGCTCCTGCTAGAAGTTTCCAAGAGCCAACAGTGGGGTTTCCAGTGGGGTCCCAGCCCCACGTTGCCCTGCCCAGGCTCTGGTGTTCACTGAGCACCAAGAATCACAGAATGTTTGGGGTTGGAAGGAACCTCCAAAGATCCAATTCCTCCCCCATCCCTGATGATCTGGAGCTGCTGAAACAGGAGATGAAAAAACAGGGTGTTTTTTTTTAAAAAACAAGTATTTTGCAGACAACAAGATCCCCATGGGACAGCAGTGTGCCCCTGTGGTCAAGGAGGCCAATGGTATCTTGGGGTGCATCAGGAGTGTGTCCAGCAGGTCAGGGAGGTTCTCATCCCCCTCTACTCAGCCCTGGTGAGACCTCACTTGGAGTGTTGTGCCCAGTTCTGGGCTCCCCAGTTCCAGAGGGACAGGGATCCACTGGAGAGAGTCCAAGGGAGGCCATGAGGATGATGAAGGGGCTGGAACACCTGCCTGAGGAGGAAAGGCTGAGAGACCTGGGGCTG